CATATTGAAATTTACAAGATTTGTAAGGTTTTTGAATCAGATAGTTTAGCAAAGCCCGAAAAGTGAATATGAAATAACCAAAATATAGATTATTGATTTAAATATTATCTTAAGTTATTGGTAGTCAAAGACCGTTTAGATTTTAAAAGAGACCTTATAAGATGGAGTTCTGTATTGACTGATTTTTGTTTTGTTTTCACATGTGTGCTTCATGTGAATAGCTTGTCAAAAGTTAACATAATATAATTAGCTTAATTAGCTGTTGGTAGGACAATAGAACTTAGTTGTTACTCGAGATTTGTAGAAATTTATGATTTTTTCATCAAGAACCTGACATATATTGACTTTTATTCATTAACTTTTGGTTTTCAACGGTTAGCCTATCCTAATCATAAATAAATAATTTTGAATTATTGATTTAGCTATTTTGGAGTAACGATTTTATATCATTAGTAGACAGCTAATTTATCTAGAAATGTGAAAGAATGTATTTAGGAATATAGTGGGTAAAAACACAGTACAATTTGTACATAAAAAGTTAGGTCATCAGGTTTAATTGCGCAGTGTATATTGAATGAGTGTTATTTAAAATTTACATTTTTAATAATATTTTTGATAAAAATTAGTTCAAATTACCAACAATACAAATAACATTATCTATAAAATACAACATAAAAATATATAAATGTCTCTTAACTCTCGCTCAAAATCATTTTTTATATAAATAACGCTGTGTATTATATACGATATCTTAAAATTTAACTCACCCATTATTTTAGTGACCTACGTAATTTACGAGGTACCTAAATGAAATACATTCTAGGTATACAGCAAAGCAAGGTTTTTTTTTAATTTTTAATTTATGAAATCATTATGTTTGTTATATGTAATATATAATTATTTATTTTTAAAAAGTATAACTCTATAGGCCTTAATTATTTTAATTAGATAATTGATTATTTTATACATATAACTATATTCATTTTTAAGTAACGTTATATTTTTTTATTTTCACACTGCTGACGACGTGGAAGAACACTGTACATTTTCATCCCACATATCAAGCAACTTTCGACTAGATATGTAGTTTATACACGATTATCATAAATTATTTTTACTAGTAGATTTATTCGAGTAATATTTACTATACATAATTTTATCGGTAAAAATTATTATCCGGGCCAATAATAGTTATAACTAGTCTGAATTCACATAATATGTACTTTTATAGATGTTTTAATAACTTAAAAATTTTAATTAATTACATGAAATTAACACATAATCTATAACATTTCAGCTAAGAATTTCTAATTATATGTTTTTCTCATATAATTTTAAAAGCAAAACCTTGTATATTTAAACGTAGTTTACATCTAGTACATTATTTGCCATATAATATATAAAATGTATTAACTAGAATCGATTTAAAAACCAATGTATTATATCAACTCTATTATTATAAATTAACCAATCTTAAATTGTGAATCAATTACATAATTAACATGTTTTCACATTTACACGTTTAATTGTTTGCGTAAACTGGAAATTTTAATTAAATGTCTAGAACCACTTGTATGTAGTACATAATAGTATTGAACAATAAACGTTATTGCCACTAAAAATGTATGAAATATTTTAAATTTTAATAATACAAAATTATGTATACAAATAACATAAATAAACTACCTACGCAGAATAAAATGTGATTTATTCAAAATTAGACAATAAAATTGTACAAATACGTAAAACTTTGTAAATTTGTAATTACATGAATCTATAGAAAAAATGAATAATGGAAATTTATTTATTTATTTAAGATTTATTTAAGGTAATGCTTGCTGAATATTTCCATTTTTTTTTTAGACAATACACATACTATTTTTCTTTGAAAAGAGTTACAAAAAATAAATTACACATTGTCTAAATATAATAGAATATAGAGTGTTATTGATTTAATCGTTTCAATTTATGACCAGTTTTTTAATTTCAATAACTATTATCGAAAACGCAATATATACAGTAGGTAGATACATATAATATAATATATGTTTGTATGGGTGTTTTTTTTTAAAAAATTGCTCGTTCAAATATTGCGAAAAATGTGTATTATATATTATATATACACATTCGTCTCGATTTAAACAATCGTTCTCTAATAAGACTGTATTTTTTTTTATTTTGCGTAATATTTATCATGTAAATACATTGTATACCATATATATATATGTAAATTATATATACATACCTTCCCCTTAATATCACAGTTATTATACCTGTATGTATCGATAGCGTTGACGGGTGCGAGGCGCGTGAATTAGATTTGTTTCAATTATATAATAAGAATCTAAGTGCGTATATTCGTATAAATAATATACTCACACACCAATTGGCACGCGTCCTTGCAGTGACGAAAACGATACTGTGGCTTATATAAAAAATAATGAAAACATTTATGAAAATTGAGTTTTTATTATGTAGATTGTAGGTAATGCGGTATAATTCAGATAGAAATCTAGTGCCCACACATATATGGGTCTTTAGTTTCCACTCTCCACGCTCCAATACAGTTTACATATTATATATTTTGGTACACAATTGTGATATTATTATAGTTTATATGATTTATTTTATCTAAAAATAATTATTATTATAATAAACATGACACCTACAGTACTAAACGTATAATAATATTTGATAATTATGAAAATAAGAATACATTAATATACTAAGTATAATGCACGTTTAATACAAATGGACAGTTCAAAAAAGTGACTATTAGTATAATATTTAATGTTAATATCCTATATCATAGTAAAGCATTTTTGTTTAATGATTATATCCTTAAAATAGCTGGTAATAAATGTTTACAATGCCGAGATTTCAGTAGGTACCAGTAAACAAAAACTCCTGTATAAGTACGTGTTTCGTAAAATAATTAGATTTAGGAGGACAAGGCTAAAACGTGTCAAAATGTATAAACGAAATAATATATTTACAGTGTACCTACATTGGCTTGTGAGCAATTTTTTTTTACTGGTATATATACGTACATATATATAATATATTATAAATTAATTTTTATTTAAATATTTATAGTTTATACATTAAGCTATGGATAGGTATGCGGAACCAGACAAAATATATTTGTGTCATATATCAATTTATAACTTAGGCGTTACAATTGGTCATTTAATAAATTACAAAATGGATATATTATTATATATTAGATATATCTATCCCTACAATATGTATTATCTTAATAAATTTTACCCAGACGTGTGGTAAGAATTGATTTTTTTTTTTTTTTTTGGGGGGGGGGGGGGGGTGGTCAAAATAATTTTAAATACAATTTTTATTTTTAAATAATAGTTTTCATTATGTATCGTACTTTGCTGACGTGTTTCATCTATAAAAATAATATTCGAAATTCAACCGTTATACAGATTACAATGGTTTATTTTTGTGCCACAATACATTTTTAATTGTAATTTGTAGGTATACATAATTACAGACAAATTACTTGAAGGGACACACCGCATGGACCCTTGGTCAGGAAAAATTCATATTTTTTTTTATCTTTTTCTATATAAGTTTTGGATATTGAATACAATTTTTTTTTTTATATAAATTATAAATAATTCATATTAAAACCATAAAATCTAAAAAAAATTATTTTTTATAGATATTTGAAGTTCTAATTTGATTGAAATTATTTATTTTAACGATAAATAGCGAATAATGTTAATTATTTTGTTATAATTTAAAAACATTATTCATATATTATGAACATTTATTATTTTATTATGCACTTTACTATACGCAATGAAATTTTTGGTTTTTTTTTTTTAAGATATTATTATCTATTATTATAATCTATTTTTACTGTTTAACGGTATTTACAAAAAATTTTTATAGCATATTGAGTTATATAAATTGATTTAATACGGCATAAAAATGTATTATTATTATAATTAAGTACTAATTATATAATAAATGCAATATTTTGGAAAAATTGATATCAATTTACTCTAATATTAAAAATAAAATAAATTACTTTAATAATTATATCAAAAAACATATCACGAAATATATTTAGTTAGAACCGTTTTTTGTATACAATTATAATATCATTGAATTCAAGTATAATATACCCATAACAGTGACCCACTGTGAACCTAATGTATGGCAGAGCGGTATCCACTACCTACCTTTTTTGATTTGAAAATAAATTTATTCAAATTCCAATTTTTTGAATTTTTAAAATATATATAATTAAAAATCATATATTTAAGTTGTTGAGATATTTTGTACTGCTTATGGAGTACTTTATATAGATAAAAACTTCGAATTTCAACTTTTTTACTGTAAATTATTTAATGGATATATTTTTTTGAAGATTTTGGTGTACTTAATTCAAAATTTAATTCAGTTGTTTTTTAGTCCTTAAAAATGGTTATAAAAAATATAAAATAGATATTATATTGAATCTAGTAATTATACTTGGAGCACTCCTGTAAATTATCAATATTGATAGATTAATATAAATTATTTAAATTAGCAGATGACCATAGTCATTATCATGATTCATAAATCTATTATCCCAAGTACACAAAGTTAAACAATTCAAAAACTACTCATTTGAACTTGAATTTTGAAACGTCAATATTGCTAGAAAAATTTTACACTAAACAATTTATTGTAAAAAAGGGAGTTGTCATTCGAAAAACAGAAGTTTGTATCTCCACGACTCACAAGACACTCCTTAAGTACCTACCTGGTGCAAAAAAATCTTAAGAATTTGAAAATATGGTATTAAGAATATTTAAAAATTACAAAAATCAAATTTTGAATAAATGCGTTAATAAAGCGTGCGATTTGTGGCCATGTGGATGGTATCTATAAAAATACTATAATAGTAGCAGGTATGTATAGGTACGTAATAATAACATAAATTAATATATTATATTGTAATTACTAATTTGTAATATATAGGTACTCACAGCGTATTTTAGTCGCAGTATAGAGAAGTAGTTATCCGCGGACAGTGTGCCGATCGCGGGCCATGAAAACGAACACGCCGGATGAAAATGTAAAAAAAAAAATAATAATAATAATACGCGAGAGCGTCGTCTGCGTAGTCGTGCTCGTTATGTAGTATTATGTCAAACGCGCTGTTGCGTCCCGAGTTATGTATGAACGCCGCCGAGCGTAGATACCGTCATAACGTGCCGACCAAGATCCGGTTACGCAATGGTCAAGGCTTTGGGGGTTCCCCTCGGCGCGGCGGCTATATATTACAATCGGAGTATACGTGTATGTATAATATGTAATTCCCGAGCGCGTGATCTTGACCCGAAATCAAAAGCTTTTTACGACGATAGATATATACTACATATAGGTATATATTATATTTTTTATACGAGTATATAATATTTACACGCGCACGCCGTCACGTTATTGTGTGCGAGCTGATACTCTTACCCCAAAGTCTACACAGGTATACACCATACATACTACCTGTAGTGTAGGTACCTCGCACCGCCAATGTCGCGATTATTATATATTTTTTTCTAGCCGCCTGGATATAATGAAGCTATATAGTTACCTACATAATACATAATATTCTATCGTGCTGTGTCGACATAATTATACACCGTGTTATTATTGATGATTTATGAGTTTCTGGTTTTCCTACTTCCTATTCAAATTTCGAACACGGGTAGTAGGGCAAAGCGCACACAATCAAATGTTATAATATTATATTATTACAGTATTAGCGTAGCGGTTCACGGTCGGTAGTCGATAAATCATAAATAATAATATTTTAAATATAGGTATGCATAGTATGTAATAGGTATATCTCAATATATATTATGTACAATTGTAGATGTATCAGGAAGATCTTATAATATTATACACTCAAATTACATTTGAATGTGTTAGATCATGCCGATCATAGTAAAGCACTATGTACTTATGTACACTATGTTATGTTTAGGTACACTGTACGCACTTCGCGGTACAGAGTGAATTTTGAATCATACCCACCCTTTTTTTAAATAAAATTACGTGCACGGTCGTATTCAAAATCTAATTTTTGAATAATTTAATTTTAAATACTTAGGACCCTATATTGTTTTCGAATACAAAATTTTTTTTAAGGATTGACAGTAAATAACCTACAATAACGAGGCAAACTTATTTCTTCAAACGAGAACCTATTCTATTGTCTAAGAATTGTTAAGGAAATCCGATGATGTATAAGTATAACAATCAATAACCAGTAATATTTATAGCTATGTAGTCACTAGTCAATGCAATTTTTTCAAATTGTATTATATAACTGTATAAAGGTTAATACAGTCATATTACAGGTTAGGAGGTTTCTAAATCTAAAAAGTAAGGATTATTAGTTAATAGTTATATTACACTCAACGTTGAGTAGGTATATCTTACTTTATGTATATGATATACATAAAGTAGGATAACTCAGAAACTACTCGTTTAAATTTCAAATCATGTTCTCGAAAAAATTATTTCCACTACAGATACTACATCATCATTAGCAAAAAAATGTTATATCATTTCAGGACAGTTCTTGTAAAGAAAGATATCAACAAATCTATAAGTATTTATAATTATACATAAAAATTCTATAAGGTTATAATTTATTCATGATAACATAGGTAACTGCTTGTTTATTTGGTTATTGCCTAATTCCTATAATATTAAAAATGTTCATATCTGAATATCTGATAATATCTATACACACCACACCTACCCTTACTAAGTTCATTTTAGCACGTTCTACAAATATTATTATTTCAATAGATATAATTTGATATACTTAAACGATTTATCATTTATTTACAAATATGTACCTATATATTTTATTCTATTTTGCCTATTATTGGAATCAATATAGAGTTATCTTTAGCGGACCAATTTCATCCTGAACATTTTTATTAAAGGTAAACTTCAATAAACTAATCTAAAAGATTAGTGAGTTTTCGGTTTTTTTCTGTTATCAAAATATTTTGTTTGATTATTATTTACTGTAATTTTTATACGTACTGTATCTATATAATTATAATAGATAGGGATTAAAAATATTTAGAACATCGATAGCTTTGAAGGAGGGAGGTAATAATACGTATCCTTGTTTGCCTATTTCAAAACAAACTTTAAAAAAAAATAAAATAAAAATTTCAAGCCACCCTTTAAAATTCGACTTGGTCTTCAACTAATAGTTCTTACCTACTTAGCGGGGAAAGTGTTTGAACTCTATGTAACTGCGGTGAGTATAATATTATATTACAGTATAACAATTATTATTATTATTATTATTATTTATTATGTACACATAAGACTATTATCATTATACACACATATACATTATAATATACATATACGCATTACGCATATACGATCGTTCACCCATGACGTATATTATATTATTATTATTATAATAACGCGAACGCGAACGCGACGACGTACTTAAGCGACGCCCGAGGGTTAACGTCCCGACACGATATAGGTACTCACACATATGCACGCGGAAGGCGTATACATACGACGACGTCCAGTCGTGACGTATAACAGTTTTGTGCATAATATCGTGTTGGTGGTACTCGGTAGGTAGTAGAGACTATATTGTTACGTATATTACACGATCGCATAATAATATTATTGTCGTCCATGTAGATATTTTGTGTTTGTAAAACATTAAAACACTGAATCATATAAGTCCGTAACCAACTCATAAGCAATAAGCAAAAAGTCAAAATCACTTGTTGCAACGTCTAATGCGTAATAATAATAACAAACTCCGACGGAGTTGGAGTTTTTGATTCGATATAACCGTCGAATTTACGGGTGCTACCAAAACAACTATAACTTAAAAGGGCATACTTCAGCATAATATTATGTATTTCAATATTGCTATTGGATGCGTTTTAACTACAAAAATTTATAATAATATATAAATACCTATAGGCAGAACTCTTAAAGTATACTATACAAAAATTTAATTCTCAAATTTAAAATAAATTATTTTCAACTTATAGTTTGGGAGCGGGGGAGCGAGGGTCATTGAAAATTTAAAAAAGGGCGTTGAATAAAAAAGGTTATAAAACGTCTGACTATACCGTTGCAGAAATATACGTAACTGTATTGTCTGTACCTGTATGAGATTTAAGTAGGTACGCCCATTTAAGTACAGCGCTTACGTGGCGATGGCTTTTATATTATAATCGTTAGTCATTACGCGTGGGCGTTGTAACGAATTTCATGGGTGGTAACTAATAAGTACTTATTTAATACATAGTATCTACATAAACATATTGGACTAGAATACATTAATACAGCACCGATTAAACGTCGTTCCGGTAGTTAAATAAAAGTAGGTCTTTCTAAAACAAAATCTAATACCCTTGAGTATAAATGTGGTTTAGTATTTAAGTAAGTATAGTTTCAATTTATATTTAATGATTTATGCCTATATGCATGTAATGGCATTTAAACATTATTAATTATTACTTTATTATATTATTTATACCTTCATAATCAGTTATTAACATTTATAACACGAAATCAAACTTTCTATTTTTTAGACTTAACTTATCAATGATTTCATCTGGCATAATTTTTATATTCCAGTGATATGTCTTCAATAAGGATGGATTAGACTTGTCATCATTCACGTAATCTATTCTTATCCGATCGATATCGATCAGCTAGTTTAGCAATAACTATTATAGTATTATTATTTTACCTAAAATTATTTAACATAATATACATAATAAAGTGTATGCATATTTAAAATACTTCATATTTATTATTTATATATTATATGTTTATTTTTTTAGAACCTACAGCTCACACTTAAGCATTGTTTTACTAATTATCATTAAATTTTATTTGACAATTTGACTTTTGTAGTCACATGTCTATTTTGAACACCAATGGGCAATGACTAATATAGACGCCAGACGGGTATATTATGTGCATCATAAAAATATCCATCTATGAAGAAATGTTTTTTAAAAATGCAAACAATTATTTTTTTTAAAAATCGGTCAAGGGGATCTAGGGAAGAGGACGTAAATACTTCTAAAATGACTATAATTGTAGCTAGTATGGACCTACTATAGTATCATTATGATATAGTTTTTTCATGTATATAGTCATGAATTGCTACATTATAACTTTTATTCCGAGTAAAAAAATGTACATGTTTAATTAATGTTCCATGTGATAACTATTTTATTGCATTCAATTGCACACAATTACTATAGTTTAAATTAGACCACAAATTAAGTGGATACTGTAACTTTTATAATCGAAATTACGCATGGATTTTTAGAAAAAGAATCATAATAATATGCCTATTTTAAATATAATAATTATACAATATGTAAAAACTAAAATGTATATTATACACGCAAATATTTAGGCAACCTCCAATCTCACCCTCTCTTTGACTAATTTTCCATGGCTTATTCTACTTTGGCCATTTTTTCTGTGACCATTATTACCGATTACTATAAAATTCATATTCCAAATGAGTAACTACTAGTTCATTAACTAATTATAACTTATTTCAACTTTGAATAATAAGTATAAGTAAATGTTCTTTAAAAATTCTATTTTTTTAAATCTCTAAATTCTGAAAAATATTTAGTTAAAGAGTATGATGTTATAAATGTTCAAAAAAATAAAAACTTTTTTTTTTTAAATATAACATTTACAATATATACAAATAAAAAACATGCAAAAACAGCAGTAGGCTAACTGAAAACAATGTATAAAAGGACTTTAAAAATAAAAAAGGGAAGCTATCCAGTGATAGATCCCTTATAAGAAGTTATCAGTTAGGTAGGTACCTTGAAAACCGCGACATCGATTTTTTCAAATTAAAAATTACAACACTTAGATAATTTGGGACATTATAAGGGGCTGACACTTTATCTAGGAATAAATTCTATGCAATTGTTTGAGATTAATAGATTAAGTTTGGTGAAATAATCTAATGTGAAATCGTTTAAAATAAATAATAACTACATTTTCAAATGTTTCAATACGTAGGTCATTTAAAAGAGTGGTGAATAAAAAAAATAGTGGACGTTTTTATTCATAGAGAAATAATTGCTCGAATTGTTTTTAATTTAGTTGGTTTGAAATAGCCT